CACCGTCCCCCCCTCTGTAGAAGGTCAGCGTTACCCTCTGTAGAAGGTCAGCGTTACCCTCTGTAGAAGGTCAGCGTTACTCTCTGTTGAAGGTCAGCGTTACTCTCTGTAGAAGGTCAGCGTTACCCTCTGTAGAAGGTCAGCGTTACCCTCTGTAGAAGGTCAGCGTTACTCTCTGTAGTAGGTCAGCGTTACCCCTCTGTAGAAGGTCAGCGTTACCCTCTGTAGAAGGTCAGCGTTACTCTGTAGAAGGTCAGCGTTACCCCTCTGTAGAAGGTCAGCGTTACCCTCTGTAGAAGGTCAGCGTTACTCTCTGTAGTAGGTCAGCGTTACTCTCTGTAGAAGGTCAGCGTTACTCTCTGTAGAAGGTCAGCGTTACCCTCTGTAGAAGGTCAGCGTTACTCTCTGTAGTAGGTCAGCGTTACCCCTCTGTAGAAGGTCAGCGTAACCCTCTGTAGAAGGTCAGCGTTACTCTCTGTAGAAGGTCAGCGTTACTCTCTGTAGAAGGTCAGCGTTACTCTCTGTAGGTCAGCGTTACTCTCTGTAGAAGGTCAGCGTTACTCTCTGTAGTAGGTCAGCGTTACCCCTCTGTAGAAGGTCAGCGTTACCCTCTGTAGAAGGTCAGCGTTACTCTCTGTAGAAGGTCAGCGTTACCCCTCTGTAGAAGGTCAGCGTTACTCTCTGTAGAAGGTCAGCGTTACTCTCTGTAGGTCAGCGTTACTCTCTGTAGTAGGTCAGCGTTACTCTCTGTAGAAGGTCAGCGTTACTCTCTGTAGAAGGTCAGCGTTACTCTCTGTAGAAGGTCAGCGTTACTCTAGATGGTCAGCGTTACCCTCTGTAGAAGGTCAGCGTTACTCTCTGTAGAAGGTCAGCGTTACCCTCTGTAGAAGGTAAGCGTTACCCCTCTGTAGAAGGTCACCGTTACCCTCTGTAGAAGGTCAGCGTTACCCTGTGTAGAAGGTCACCGTTACCCTCTGTAGAAGGTCAGCGTTACTCTCTGTAGAAGGTCACCGTTACCCTCTGTAGAAGGTCAGCGTTACTCTCTGAAGAAGGTCAGCGTTACCCCTCTGTAGAAGGTCACCGTTACCCTCTGTAGAAGGTCAGCGTTACCCTGTGTAGAAGGTCACCGTTACCCTCTGTAGAAGGTCAGCGTTACTCTCTGTAGAAGGTCACCGTTACCCTCTGTAGAAGGTCAGCGTTACCCTGTGTAGAAGGTCACCGTTACCCTCTGTAGAAGGTCAGCGTTACTCTCTGTAGAAGGTCACCGTTAGCCTCTGTAGAAGGTCAGCGTTACTCTCTGTAGGTCAGCGTTACTCTCTGTAGTAGGTCAGCGTTACTCTCTGTAGTAGGTCAGCGTTACCCCTCTGTAGAAGGTCACCGTTACCCTGTGTAGAAGGTCACCGTTACCCTGTGTAGAAGGTCACCGTTACCCTCTGTAGAAGGTCAGCGTTACCCTCTGCAGTTCGACTTTCATCTACATGATCCATTAGCGTTCAGGGTTCGACCCCAGTCTAAACCGTCCGTGGGAGGAGGAGACACTATGTAGCTCTAGTATGGACCCTTCGGCGCTAGGATCCTCGGTGGCAGCTTCCACTCACAGGCTGACACATCAATATCTAATCAACTGGGTTGCACTTGTGAGTTAGTAACTATAAATAGTAAACTAGATGTGTGTAAATCACGAAAATAGACACGTGATTAAAAATGTGACAGTGTCAGACCACGGAGGAAAATTGAAACAGGAATTTCCTTAAGTACTTTCGTATATTAATACATCATCAGAAGGAGTGAAGTAAACTAGATATATCAGGGTAATACAGGTTGGGCTCAATGAATTCACATGGAGTTTAATTGGTCCAAATTGGATCCGGATAGTGTAATTTGTGTTCATTTGGAACACATTGGATCAAGAGAGCACCATTGAACAATCACGTGGTCCACAATGGATCAGAATAGTAGAATTGGTCTTTATGTGGAACCAATTGGATAAAGATTGTGTAATTGAAAATGACATGATATGAAATTGGATTATGAGAATAAAAAGAGATGTAGAGGTGGTAGAAGAAGGCTGGGAGGAGGTATATGGTTAGGAAGGTGGGGGTCGTGGGGCTGTAAGTAGCGGGTGAGATGCTGGCAGGGCGAGCCCCTGTTGGCCGCAGGTAACAGGAGAATACATTGACAGCTGGTTGTGTTAAGCGGACCTTGCCGCAGCCTGTCTTCAAGCCTCCGCATTAATGGTCCAGGAAGTGCCTCCTCTCGGCTGAAATTCGAGTAGACGCCTTAGGATGAATTAAGTTGATTGTCGCTCCTCCTCCTCCTCCTCCTCCTCCTCCTCCTCCTCCTCCTCCTCCTCCTCCTCCTCCTCCTCCTCTTCCTCCTTCTCCTCCTCCTCCTCTTCTTACCTTGTTTACGAATGTTTTTGTTTCATATATTTTCAATAGTGTTGCTTTTTTCATTACCTTTCACATGGGAAGTTGGGCACCATTCCTTTCCCTCCGTCCCATCCCAATATCCTAATCCTGACCCCTTCCCAGTCCTATATTAGTCGTAATGGCTTGGCGCTTTCCCCTTCGCATGGGAAGAATTAAGACTAACTTATCTTATCCTGGGGGGGGGGGACCTAGTTCAGTTGTCACCAAGTCAAGATGCTATGGATATATATTGCTAAATATATATGAAAGATATAATGCCGAACATAGGTTCATAGTTCAGTCGTGGCAGATATGCCGGTGTTGCAGGGACCTCACCGGACTCGCTGTAACCGGATCAGAAACTGTATCTGTCACCCTGAGAGTCCTGTCACGCTGAGAGTCCTGTCACCCTGAGAGTCCTGTCACGCTGAGAGTCCTGTCACCCTGAGAGTCCTGTCACGCTGAGAGTCCTGTCACGCTGAGAGTCCTGTCACGCTGAGAGTCCTGTCACCCTGAGAGTCCTGTCACCCCTGAGAGTCCTGTCACCCCTGAGAGTCCTGTCACCCCTGAGAGTCCTGTCACCCCAGAGAGTCCTGTCACCCCTGAGAGTCCTGTCACCCTGAGAGTCCTGTCACCCTGAGAGTCCTGTCACCCCTGAGAGTCCTGTCACCCCTGAGAGTCCTGTCACGCTGAGAGTCCTGTCACCCTGAGAGTCCTGTCACCCCTGAGAGTCCTGTCACCCCTGAGAGTCCTGTCACCCCTGAGAGTCCTGTCACCCCAGAGAGTCCTGTCACCCCTGAGAGTCCTGTCACCCTGAGAGTCCTGTCACCCTGAGAGTCCTGTCACCCCTGAGAGTCCTGTCACCCCTGAGAGTCCTGTCACCCCTGAGAGTCCTGTCACCCCTGAGAGTCCTGTCACCCTGAGAGTCCTGTCACCCTGAGAGTCCTGTCACCCTGAGAGTCCTGTCACCCTGAGAGTCCTGTCACCCTGAGAGTCCTGTCAAGTGTTCCGGCAAGCATCTGGGTCATATTGTCTCCTCAAACATCCCGCCTGTCAACGTTTGTCATGCCATCATGCTGAGGGAATGTCATACTGAGGGAATGTCATTCTGAGGGAATGTCATGCTGAGGGAATGTCATACTGAGGGAATGTCAAGCTGAAGGAATGTCATGCTGAGGGAATGTCATGCTGAGGGAATGTCAAGCTGAGGAATGTCATGCTGAGGGAATGTCATGCTGAGGGAATGTCATGCTGGGGGAATGTCATACTGAGGGAATGTCATACTGAGGGAATGTCATGCTGAAGGAATGTCATGCTGAGGGAATGTCATGCTGAGGGAATGTCATGCTGAGGGAATGTCATGCTGAGGGAATGTCAAGCTGAGGAATGTCATGCTGAGGGAATGTCATGCTGAGGGAATGTCATGCTGAGGGAATGTCAAGCTGAGGGAATGTCATGCTGAGGGAATGTCATGCTGAGGGAATGTCATGCTGGGGAATGTCATACTGAGGGAATGTCATGCTGGGGGAATGTCATACTGAGGGAATGTCATACTGAGGGAATGTCATGCTGAAGGAATGTCATGCTGAGGGAATGTCATGCTGAGGGAATGTCATGCTGAGGGAATGTCATGCTGAGGGAATGTCAAGCTGAGGAATGTCATGCTGAGGGAATGTCATGCTGAGGGAATGTCATGCTGAGGGAATGTCAAGCTGAGGGAATGTCATGCTGAGGGAATGTCATGCTGAGGGAATGTCATGCTGGGGGAATGTCATACTGAGGGAATGTCATGCTGGGGGAATGTCATACTGAGGGAATGTCATACTGAGGGAATGTCATGCTGAAGGAATGTCATGCTGAGGGAATGTCATGCTGAGGGAATGTCATGCTGAGGGAATGTCATGCTGAGGGAATGTCAAGCTGAGGAATGTCATGCTGAGGGAATGTCATGCTGAGGGAATGTCATGCTGGGGGAATGTCATACTGAGGGAATGTCATACTGAGGGAATGTCATGCTGAAGGAATGTCATGCTGAGGGAATGTCATGCTGAGGGAATGTCATGCTGAGGGAATGTCATGCTGAGGGAATGTCAAGCTGAGGAATGTCATGCTGAGGGAATGTCATGCTGAGGGAATGTCATGCTGAGGGAATGTTATGCTGAGGGAATGTCATACTGAGGGAATGTCATACTGAGGGAATGTCATGCTGAGGGAATGTCATACTGAGGGAATGTCATACTGAGGGAATGTCATGCTGAGGGAATGTCATGCTGAGGGAATGTCATACTGAGGGAATGTCATACTGAGGGAATGTCATGCTGAGGGAATGTCATACTGAGGGAATGTCATGCTGAGGGAATGTCATACTGAGGGAATGTCATACTGAGGGAATGTCATGCTGAGGGAATGTCATACTGAGGGAATGTCATACTGAGGGAATGTCATACTGAGGGAATGTCATGCTGAGGGAATGTCATACTGAGGGAATGTCATACTGAGGGAATGAACAGTTATTTAATTAAGAGTGAGTGAGGCAGGTGTTGTGTACTCTTACCTGAGACACACTGACCCTGGCAAGCTGAACTGTGTATGGAAGAAATAGTCAAGACGAATCTTAGGTCTCCTGCCACGCACCCCTTGACCTCTCTTGCCAGGGCTTATGGCCACCCCTTGACCTCTCTTGCCAGGGCTTATGGCCACTCCTTGACCTCTCCTGCCAGGGCTTATGGCCACTCCTTGACCTCTCCTGCCAGGGCTTATGGCCACTCCTTGACCTCTCCTGCCAGGTCTTATGGCCACTCCTTGACCTCTCCTGCCAGGTCTTATGGCCACCCCTTGACCTCTCTTGCCAGGGATTATGGCCACTCCTTGACCTCTCCTGCCAGGGCTTATGGCGACTCCTTGACCTCTCCTGCCAGGGATTATGGCTACTCCTTGACCTCTCCTGCCAGGGCTTATGGCGACTCCTTGACCTCTCCTGCCAGGGATTATGGCTACTCCTTGACCTCTCCTGCCAGGGCTTATGGCCACTCCTTGGCCTCTCCTGCCAGGGCTTATGACCACTCCTTGACCTCTCCTGCCAGGTCTTATGGCCACTCCTTGACCTCTCTTGCCAGGGCTTATGGCCACTCCTTGACCTCTCCTGCCAGGGCTTATGGCCACTCCTTGACCTCTCTTGCCAGGGCTTATGGCCACTCCTTGACCTCTCCTGCCAGGGCTTATGGCCACTCCTTGACCTCTCCTGCCAGGGCTTATGGCCACTCCTTGACCTCTCTTGCCAGGGATTATGGCCCCTCCTTGACCTCTCTTGCCAGGGATTATGGCCACTCCTTGACCTCTCCTGCCAGGGCTTATGGCCACTCCTTGACCTCTCTTGCCAGGGATTATGGCCACTCCTTGACCTCTCTTGCCAGGGATTATGGCCACTCCTTGACCTCTCTTGCCAGGGATTATGGCCACTCCTTGACCTCTCTTGCCAGGGCTTATGGCCACTTCTTGACCTCTCCTGCCAGGGCTTATGGCCACTTCTTGACCTCTCCTGCCAGGGCTTATGGCCACTCCTTGACCTCTCCTGCCAGGCCTTATGGCCACTTCTTGACCTCTCCTGCCAGGTCTTATGGCCACTCCTTGACATCTGCCAGGCCTTATGGCCACTTCTTGACCTCTCCTGCCAGGGATTATGGCCACTCCTTGACCTCTCCTGCCAGGGCTTATGGCCACTCCTTGACCTCTCCTGCCAGGGCTTATGGCCACTTCTTGACCTCTCCTGCCAGGGCTTATGGCCACTCCTTGACCTCTCCTGCCAGGCCTTATGGCCACTCCTTGACCTCTCCTGCCAGGGCTTATGGCCACTCCTTGACCTCTCCTGCCAGACCTTATGGCCACTCCTTGACATCTGCCAGACCTTATGGCACCGTAAGTCTTGTTTCTCTATACAGGTGCTCACTCCTGCTGACTCGCCAGATCTTTGCTACAAATATCAGAAGGACTGTAAGAATATATTGGATATGACTGAGAGTATGACGACGTAGCAGACCTGCACCATAGAATATAATTACTAAAAAAAATTAGTGAGATAGTAGTTGTACCTCTTGGGATAATAATATTATTAAGGAATTTCTGATATATATATATATATATATATATATATATATATATATATATATATATATATATATATATATATATATATATATATATATATATATATGTATAAATATATATATATGTGTGTGTGTGTGTGTGTGTGTTAGGTCTAAGATCTGATTTTATATTTATGCAACGGTTAAAAAAAGTTTGTCATTTGGCCAAATGGAAAACGACAGATTTATACACTGTGAAAATAACATGTGCTATAATTGAACAGTTTTGTGTATGCAACAGGAAACAGCGCTGATGAGAGATGGTGACGATATACACCGCGGGCGAGTTGCTCTTTGTTGTATGATAGTGTGGCATACACTGGAATGTCAAGGGGGGGGGGGGATTATCGCATACACAGATTTGACAGAAGAGCATACACAGACGTGACAAAAAAGTATTACACACACACACACACACACACACACACACACACACACACACACACACACACACATACACACACACACACACACACACACACACACACACACACACACACACACACACACACACACACACACACACACACACACACACACACACACACACACACACACACACACATACACACACACACACACACACACACACACACACACACACACACACACGACTCGTTGAACGTATGATATACACAAGCGGGTACCCAGAAATAGTGAAGACCGCTTCCAGGGTATTCATGATTAATTACAAGTACATATATACACAAATACACACGTACAAGTGTATAAGTACAATAATTTATTATACATAATCCATCACCAACTCAACATCTTGTTAAAGAAATATGATGTATAAAAGTATCTATATATTGAGTAATAATTACATATTTCAAAGTTATATTAAATGTGTGTATTAAAGAAACGTAATTTTGAAATTCTCGTTACCCCTATAACACTGGAAGAATGATTAACAAGCCACCATATCATACCAGGATACTGGGTCTTTTATAATGATTTAAAACAGTACAAAAAACTAGTTAAACTGGTTAAATAAAACCATAATATATATTGACTTTTTTAAGAGCGAAGGAATTTATATTAAAGTTTATACAAATTGAATGAATTTTAACTTATAAACGAGAGGTTAAAATTTTACATTTCAGAGCTAATGTTAATGTTATTTTTCAGAGATTATAACTTGAAGGTGACCCTTGACGCTACAACAGTCGCTACATGACCCTTGACGCTACAACAGTCGCTACATGACCCTTGACGCTACAACAGTCGCTACATGACCCTTGACGCTACAACAGTCGCTACATGACCCCTTGACGCTGACGCTACAACAGTCGCTACATGACCCTTGACGCTACAACAGACGCTACAACAGTCGCTACATGACCCTTGACGCTACAACAGTCGCTACATGACCCTTGACGCTACAACAGTCGCTACATGACCCATGACGCTACAACAGTCGCTACATGACCCTTGACGCTACAACAGTCGCTACATGACCCATGACGCTACAACAGTCGCTACATGACCCATGACGCTACAACAGTCGCTACATGACCCTTGACGCTACAACAGTCGCTACATGACCCATGACGCTACAACAGTCGCTACATGACCCATGACGCTACAACAGTCGCTACATGACCCTTGACGCTACAACAGTCGCTACATGACCCTTGACGCTACAACAGTCGCTACATGACCCATGACGCTACAACAGTCGCTACATGACCCTTGACGCTACAACAGTCGCTACATGACCCTTGACGCTACAGTCGCTACATGACCCATGACGCTACAACAGTCGCTACATGACCCATGACGCTACAACAGTCGCTACATGACCCTTGACGCTACAACAGTCGCTACATGACCCATGACGCTACAACAGTCGCTACATGACCCATTGTCGCTACGCTACAAACAGTCGCTACATGACCCTTCGCTACGACCCATACACACAGTCGCTACATGACCCATGACGCTACAACAGTCGCTACATGACCCATGACGCTACAACAGTCGCTACATGACCCATGACGCTACAACAGTCGCTACATGACCCATGACGCTACAACAGTCGCTACATGACCCATGACGCTACAACAGTCGCTACATGACCCATGACGCTACAACAGTCGCTACATGACCCATGACGCTACAACAGTCGCTACATGACCCTTGACGCTACAACAGTCGCTACATGACCCATGACGCTACAACAGTCGCTACATGACCCATGACGCTACAACAGTCGCTACATGACCCATGACGCTACAACAGTCGCTACATGACCCTTGACGCTACAACAGTCGCTATATCACCCATGACGCTGCAACAGTCGCTCCATGATCCATGACGCTACAACAGTCGCTACATGACCCATGACGCTACAACAGTCGCTACATGACCCATGACGCTACAACAGTCGCTATATGACCCATGACGCTGCAACAGTCGCTACATGACCCATGACGCTACAACAGTCGCTACATGACCCTTGACGCTACAACAGTTGCTACATGACCCATGACGCTGCAACAGTCGCTACATGACCCATGACGCTACAACAGTCGCTACATGACCCATGACGCTACAACAGTCGCTACATGACCCTTGACGCTACAACAGTTGCTACATGACCCATGACGCTGCAACAGTCGCTACATGACCCATGACGCTACAACAGTCGTTCCATGACCCATGACGCTACAACAGTCGCTACATGACCCATGACGCTACAACAGTCGCTACATGACCCATGACGCTGCAACAGTCGCTACATGACCCATGACGCTACAACAGTCGCTACATGACCCATGACGCTACAACAGTCGCTACATGACCCATGACGCTACAACAGTCGCTACATGACCCTTGACGCTACAACAGTCGCTACATGACCCTTGACGCTACAACAGTCGCTACATGACCCATGACGCTACAACAGTCGCTACATGACCCATGACGCTACAACAGTCGCTACATGACCCATGACGCTACAACAGTCGCTACATGACCCTTGACGCTACAACAGTCGCTACATGACCCTGATCAATCCAGTTGAAGGTTGCAAGACTCAGCTTCTGCGAGCGTTAAACCGCCAAGTATCCGGATTTTTCCTATTAAAATATACACGTTTAATCTGTATAATGAATTATATTCGGTTATGGCCTCAACAGCTGCATAAAAAGCATGCCGGCCATTTTTGTGATGATTTAAACTCGTTGCTCTTCGAATTAAGATCCTTTTTTTCCTTGCGTTAGTTTGCGAGTGACATTTCGTGAGTGTGAATGGCACATAAATTGGATTAAAAGTGGCACCCCTAGTGACAGGAAGTTTTATTAAGCGTGTTGAGTGACAGGTTAATGGCAGGGTCAGGAGGAGGAGTGTCAGGACCCCTTGGTGGTGGCCGTGTTTATGTCGCACTAACAACTCCACACTGCATAATAGTGCCCCAACCTCTGTCACCGCTACGCCTCATATTTTTGTTCTCGGCCGGAGCCTCGCCGCTAGTTTGTCTCACCTTCCTCCCTCGTCCGGAGCCTCGCCGCTAGTTTGTCTCACTTTCCTCCCTCGTCCGGAGCCTCGCCGCTAGTTTGTCTCACTTTCCTCCCTCGGCCGGAGCCTCGCCGCTAGTTTGTCTCACTTTCCTCCCTCGTCCGGAGCCTCGCCGCTAGTTTGTCTCACTTTCCTCCCTCGGCCGGAGCCTCGCCGCTAGTTTGTCTCACTTTCCTCCCTCGTCCGGAGCCTCGCCGCTAGTTTGTCTCACTTTCCTCCCTCGTCCGGAGCCTCGCCGCTAGTTTGTCTCACCTTCCTCCCTCGGCCGGAGCCTCGCCGCTAGTTTGTTTCACTTTCCTCCCACGTCCGGAGCCTCGCCGCTAGTTTGTTTCACTTTCCTCCCACGTCCGGAGCCTCGCCTCTAGTTTGTCTCACCTTCCTCCCTCGGCCGGAGCCCCACCGCTATAAAGGGTCCCAGAGGCACCAATCCAACACAGCAGAGCCATGCTATCCAACTAAAATTTTAGGCCTTCCCTGAGGTGCCACTGTGGCATGAAGGTGTTGGATGATCCACGTCCTGGTTATTGCTTGCCAAAGTAACACCGGTGAGAAGGCCTAAAGTCCCAGTTGAACAGCAGAGTTGTCTCTGAGTTCCGTCTCTATTGGAGGTGCCGGGGACTCAGTAGGTCGCGCTCCGGGCTCTGCTTTTGCGGTCTGCGTTTGGAGGCTCCTATAGTTCAGGTGGATGAAATGTTGTTATCCGAGGTATGGTAGTTAGCAATTTGTGATTGGGAGGTGAATCACCTAACACCTTCATGCCAAAGTGGCACCCCGGGCAAGGCCTGAAATTCCCGTTAGACAGCAGACGTGTCCTGAGCAACTTACTGAGCCACAATAAAGCGGGACAGTTTGGTGTCCCGCTTTATTGTGGCTCAGTAAGTTGCTCTACGGACTATCCTCTTGGGCTATACAGCCTACGGGCTATCCTCTTGGGCTATACAGCCTACGGACTATCCTCTTGGGCTATACAGCCTACGGGCTATATATATAATATTTGTAAAAGCAATATTGCATTTTGTGCAAAAACTTGTCGCGCAGGTAATCAGACGTTGTGGGAGGCAGAGGGTCGGGTACTCTTACTAAGTCAACACTGACAATGACATTGTGAGTGATTACCTCTGACACAGCCTCACTCAAGCAGCCCCGGGGGAGTATTGTCGATACTGTGAAAGACAGTGTGTCAGCTGCTTGGTACTGGGGAATGGGGGGTTGGTACTGGGGTAGGGGGTTGGTTGGTACTGGGGAGGGGGGTGGGGGTTTAGTACTTGGGAGGGGGGTGTGGTGGTTTGGTACTGGGGAGGAGGGGGTCGTGGTGTGGTACTGGGGCGGGGGGGGGATGGTTTGGTA